AGCTCCCCCCAGTTCATATACTGGGCATGACATCACATGGTATGGAATATCCCTTTGGCCAGTTTGGGTCAGCTATCCTGGCTGTGTCCCCTCCCAGCTTCCTGTGCCCCTCCAGCTTTCTTGCTGGCTGGGCATGAGAAGCTGAAAAATCCTTGACTTAGTCTAAACATTACTTAACACACTGATGTTTTCAGTTGTTGCTATCAACCTTATTCTCATACTGAATCCAAAACATAACACTATGCCAGCTACGAGAAAGAAAATTAACTCTATCCCAGCTGAAACCAGGACACTCATGCATCAAGTATTTGCAGGGGGAGCCCTGGTTAGAAATTGCTTCCTTTTTCATTTGATTTGCCTTTCTCCTCTAAATTAGTTGGGTTTTAATTGCTGAATTTTCCTTTAACTGAGGCAGCAGCTGCACCAGACAGATGAGTCTCAAGAAGGACGAAGTGTTGGCTCCTGTTCAGCTGGGCCAGACACAATGCAAGGTACTTTTGGCACCTTCCTCTGTGTTACTAAGGCATAATCAGTCTTGGAGTCTTTGATGGCATTTGTACGACATTAAAATCTTGGGCTTTGGACTAAGCTTGGTTTGGAAATACTGCTGAAAAGTTTGTCAAAATACAAAAGGAATAAAAACTTATCAGAAGACAGATTGCACTGAGCTCGCTTTCTGATCATGCTTAGGAGTATTCTGTGCAGTGGAAGCTATAGGCTCAGCTTGTTTAAAAAAAAAAATCATCCTGTCTGAAAAAGTTGATGGAGGTAGATTGATTAGTGTGTGTTAAAAGTCTGGCTTTTTGGTTTCAGAGTATAGCTTTTACAGTGTGTACAGCATTTTAAAGACAGTGCAGAGCATTTGAAATATCCACTGCATGTTAGAAGAACTGGTAAATTACATAGTCAGCTAACAAAATGAATATATATTTAGCTTCTCCAAGAAGATAATTTTATTTGCTAAACAGGCCTCTCTTTGCTTTTAGGAACTTAAACTAATTCAGCTAGCTTTAATGGCCAAAGTCTCTTTTTTTATTTGTACCAAAGTTCAGCATGGAGCCCAAAGCCTCTGCTGATTTAAAACAAAAAAAATCCCCAAGCAACACACACCAAAATACTCCACAGCTGATTTCAGTAGAACTGGCCAGATGGACATCAGGTAAGGATGCATAGTTTTCTGTGCATTTGGCACCTTACGTAATTTATAATTGTGACAGGAGGTGTTTGAAGGTGATGCCTTTGGTATGTATTAAGTCTTCTAGGGTTGCAGAGCAGTTTTGATAAGGATCGTTGTTGCTTTCTAAAATACTCATGCTTTAGACTCAAGTGTAGTATAATTTTTCTTGCTCTTTTGAATGTTACTGTTTTTCAAAGTGAAGCAAGATACTTTATGCTGGTTGGTTTTTTTTTGTTGTTTTTTTTTTTTGTAAAAACAGTAAGGTTGTAAAGTCCATAGTTTTACCACTAAAAAAGAAAAATCCTAGCCACAGTTTTAACCAGTACTCAAGGGAAAAACAGACTTGAATGGAAAAATAATGTACATAATCATCAGAGTAATCATTCCATCTGATCTGAAGCAGAAAATTGATTTGGTTTAGGAAAGCTATAAACCTTTTAGAGTTGAAGCCCAGCCATGTACAGTGGAAGGTGTTCTGCTTTGTCAGTAAGTTCATGCACAAGAAAATGAAATAGAGGTGTCTTGGGATGCTTCACATCTATGGCATAGAGTTAGAGTCTAGCAGAGGGCTCCCATCATGGTCAGGGGGCTGGAACACATGTTGGAGTAGAGAGCTGCGTTTGTTCAGTTGTAGGAAGAGAAGATTAAGGGAGATTGTACTGTTATCTTCAACTGCCTGTTGGCAGGAAATGAAGTGGAGCCAGATTCTTGCAGGCACACAGTGATGCGCTAAGAAGCAATGGACACAAGCTGGAATGTGGGAAATTCTCATTAGATATAATTTTTTAATTTACTTGTTTTTTTACCATAAGGGTGGTGAAATATTGGAACAGGGGCCCTGAGAAGTTGTGGGATCATCCGTCCTTGGAGATGCTTGAAACTTGGCTGGATGAAGCCCTTATATAGTTTGACCTGTTTTAAGGGGAAGGTTGAACCAGAGGTTTCTTCCAAACTAAATTATTAGTTAGGAAATAAGAGGCAGCTTGGGGAAAGCAGGTAAGAAAGTCCTAGAGAGAAATTAGCAGGATCAATTGCTGAAATAATGCTGTTGGTAAGTTTTCTTCCCTCATTCACAAATGGTGAATTTTCTCTGGTGTATAGAATGGCTTTGTTCCTAAACTTCAAGGAGGAGTTTGCCCTTAAGGTTGTCTCCCTATTGCTGATGGGCAGTGCACATACTAAGTAGAGGTGATTGCCACAGTGCTGTGGTGCGCTCTCTGTCTCTGAGGTGAGAGCTGTGGTGCGCAGCCTGTCTCTCAGCATTGTTCGTGCAGTGTGCTGCACGGTCACCACTGGGTTGCTGTGTTCCTTCCTTCTTTTTCTGTTGGAGACGGTATTTTACATTAGGATGAAAGAGGTGAGAAACTAAAATTAGTATCAGAGTTAAAGATTTTACTAGTCAGATCTAATTGAATCTCAGCACCCAGGCATGTATAGTACTGAAAACGTTTATTAGGCTTCTATAATTGTGTTAAAATTGATACCCCCAGGCTAGTATTGAAGCAAGTGAAATTGCCAAGGTCTGTGCATGACAGTACTGCCTTGATAATAGTACTGCTAGGGGAGTGGGCTTTGCTCTTTGCTGGCCTTTTAATGCTCTGTGTTTCACATCAGGCTCCTTAACTGTCAGGGGCTTAGTGCTGTTTCTATTTGAGTGCCTTCTGCATCATTTTGGCTCTGGACCAACAAAAAATTAATCTTCAGGCTCCTGGAGTATTCATCTGAGGAGATAGCTGGGTGAGGAATCCCAGGAGTGCAGTTCCAGCTGAGATACCCGTATTCTTCTTAAAGCTTTCTGGAGGAGATGCAGGTTTCTGTGGTGCCTTGGTTCAAACGGGAATGCTAGGCACAGCACTGATAGCTGTGTGTAGCTTCCTTGCCAGGAGCGGAATGTAGTCAGCACGGAGCGCTCTGTATTTCAAACCCTTTTGATACAGGTCTGAGCTTTGCTTTAAAAGCCTTTCAAAAAAAATTCAGAGGGCTGCTCTAATGAGAAATGCTCTGAGTGACAGCAGCCTGGCACTGCAGTTGCGAAGTAACATTTTACAACCTCTCTGCTCAGACACTTATTTGCAAACTGACTTAGCTGCTCAGCAGTCTGTCCTATAATTTCATATATGCTTTGTGGTGCTAGCTCAGAGAATTGGTCCTTCCCAGACCCACAGTTCCTTGTGACAGAACAAACATATGTTTATGGGGTGAACTGGATCAGGGAACCAATCCAAGTGAAAATTAGCCTGGCCAAGAAGCTAATTTCAACCTGGGACAGCTTCTCTGGCAGATGAGAGCAGGCGAGTGTGCCCAGCCGGTGACGAGCACGCAGCCCTCCTGCTGCTGCTTTTAGCAGCCTGCTGGCTTATGCCAGTGTGTGGTGGTGGCAGGGTTTAGGACTTCAGATTTGAGTGGGCAGAACTGTGTTTTCCTATTTTTGAGATTATACTGAAGTGTGAAACAAATCTACTTCCAAAACTGTATCCTCAGTCAGCCCAGTCTGTGATAACTTTGATGTTTGCTTGTGAACTGATATAAAAATGTAGGTAAATTGAAATGTTTCACTTTGGTTTTGACCTTTTTGGTGTAAATTAGCTGCACTCTCAAATGAGAGTTGTTGTAAACTGGAAGCAACATTTTCAAGTCAAATGAGATGTTTCTTTCAACTAGCTTGGTGTTTTTATTTTTTTCCTGGCAAGGGAGATTTATTGAAGATCCTCCATGCAGTTTTGGTCTCAATGAGCTATTGACCCGGAGCTGGCACTGAGCAGAGTCTGGTTGTTTGGATGTCTTGCTACTGATTTATTTATTTATTTATTTTTAGCATGCATCCTTGTACCCTCTTGTTTTTCACCATTGCCAACTGTATGTGGAGTCTTGCTATGTGTTAAACTGCAAGGCCAGATGATGAGGATTAATGCAGTGTAATTGCTCATTAATATTTCTGTCCCAAGGCCTGGTCCAGGTGCTTTACAGTGGCCTGGGTGAAATCCTCTGGAGGAATATGGCCTTTTGGAGTATCAGGGCTGTTTCCATCCATTTGTGACCTCTAGTCTCATTGTTGCTGTGTGGGGAGGGATTGCTATCACTATTTACAGTGATTTAAAACCAGAGATCCTCTTGGGCCCAGAGGGAACTAAACATGTTAACACTAGAGAGAAGGGGGGGGGGAGGGTGGGGAAGGCCACTCCAGCTACCATAGCTTTTAGAAAACTCGAATGCCTTTTTTTTTGGGGGGGGGGGGGGGGGGGGGGGGGGGGGGGCGCGCGAAAGGCG